GAGCAGGTGGTAAAATTGTCATGATAGGCTCCATAAAATCGTTTCGCATTGCCCAACTCCATACCTGGGGTTCCAAATCATGCCTTAACCAAGTTTGAACTTAATAATATACACGTTTGAAAGGTTGATGAGCAGCTGCTTTTCTTGGTGGAATATTTGAAAGCTGCACAGGTTAATTAAGTTTTGTAGACTTGACGTAATGCATATAACGAAGATGATCGAGACTTTCACAGATTTCGGAGCATTATAGACTGCCAATAAGATTTGAGTTCCACTCTCTAATAATCTGTGGGCCGAACAATTTTCTTTCTCAAATGATGCAGCTAGTTCATTCAAATTTGTCAGTCTCTCAAAAACTTTAAAAAATGATTTTTTCCCTTTTTAAAAAGCGCAGAAGTTGTGTCACAGCCACTTAATGCGTGCAGAAATAAAATATGTGTTTTGAATGAGGATAATTATCAAAACTTTTAGTCAAGTATATCTCCGTTTTTACATTTCCTTTCCCAACTTTTTTAAAGAAAATGTCTTGTTCGTAAGACAGTGTACGCCCAATTAAAATGACAAGTAAATCAATATCTTGTCCTATTATAACTGCAGTTTTTTTAGAATTTGATTCTTCAATTGCAGTTTCAACAATAAGAACATCAGCATTATCTCTGGCTTGTTTAGTAGTAATATTTGCAGCTTGTAATTTTTCAATTAACATATTAATGAGCATATCTTTGTTATTTCGATTTGATAAGAATTTTTCTTGAGTAACTGGTACAACTATTGTTTCATCTTCTCTGCTGCTCCATAGCTTTTACGTTCTTACTGTAATCTGAATTTTTTTAAACAAAATTTGTAGAGAATTTTGTATTCTACAATATTGATAATAAATACAAATAGCAAAAAACCCATAAAAAATGAGATATTTACAAAAAAGCGCAAAAAACCAATTTTTGTGACATTTGACCTTGAAATTTAATAGTTGCGTACACCCTACCATATGTAGGTTTTGAAATAACTTTTAGCGTGTCAATATACAAGTATTTACAGACTTACAGCTGGGTATCTCCAGTTCCGAGATTCTTACCTAATTTAAGCTTAAATGACTGGACTATATAGGATTCAGCTTCATTAGTTATCTGAAGCCAAACATCAAACAACATTGTGGCTTCTGGGTTTCCATCTCAATTATAGTTCCTATCTTTAGCTTCTTTAAATTGGACATAATATTTGGTTCAACCTTGCTTGCAATATATTGTAATATATTGTAAATGTTGTTTAATTTCCTCAGCATTAATTTTTTTGGGTGCCTCAATTTCTCTGTTAATTATTTTTAAAAATTATTAACATTGAATGGATAGAAACAAGTTGTATTAAAACCATTTTTCGTTTTTTAAATTATTGTTTATCTCAAAAATGTTTCATATTTAATAATATTATTTACGAAGAACCGCAGATGGTCTCGCTATATGGGCTGCGGCCTTTCTCCTTTAATAACAGACAGACATCTTTACGAATAATTTAGAAACGAATCACATAATTTCACGACTTAATGACATTTTAATATACCTTGAATGTGTCGATGACGTCTTTTACTTAATTAAAGGCGATTCAAACACAGCTTCTCTAATTCTAAATCCGATCATTAATATATTCAAAGAACATTGTATTTCTTTGATCCATAGGAGTGGAAATGGGTTTGAATTTGATATTTACAGAAAACCCACTCACACTGATCATGTCATTAATTTTTCTTCCAATCGCCTGCATCAACATGAAATGTCAGTCTTCCATTGTTATGTATTTCAAATTAATTAACAAATTAAGTAAATTCATATCTATTAAATTTCAATGACAAACTTAACATTCTTGACAAGTTGCAATGCAACGGTTGTAATGCTGGTTACCTAGACAGGATTTAAAGATCTCAGATAAATAAAGATAAAACAAGTTATAAAAGTTTTTTAATAATAATAAATCGTTTATTGTTTAACACATAAAATAAATTAACGATAAATAATAAACGATGGTAAACAAAAGGAGTGGTGATAGGTCTACTGATCAGTTCTTTCTCGCCATTCTTTAACAAAAAAAAAAAAAAAAATACATACATACATACATAAATTATATTTTAATAAATTTTCACGCTATCCTGACCAGACAACAATAATTGAATAATGAGTAAGAATTAAAAACTGATAAAGACCAAAAGCCAAAAATATGTATCTACGATTTGTTTTAATTATTCTTATTACCAATAGACAAAGAAGATAACATTTAGCATATTTGAGGGGCCTAGTATCAAAACCGGCAATATCCCACTTTCATAGTTACGAGATATTTTCGAATAACTACTGCTGCCTTATTATTTATGCTAGATAGTTGGAGATTATTGAAAACGGTAGTTTACTCGATTCTGAACAATAACTAATAGTTCTGTTACTTAGAACTGACAAGGTTTTTCCAAAATATAATACAAAAATATGGAGATTGCCGGTTTTGTTCCTAGAGGTAGGACATTGCCGGTTTTGATACCGAAATGTATAAATAGACCCGAGAAAAAAGGCAATGAAAGACGAAGTGAGTGCTAAACTAAAACTGTATTTTTCTTTAGGTAACAACATAGTAGAAAATAATATCAAAAATTAAACCAATACAGTTGGAATCTCTGCAATGAATTCGCAAGAGGGTTCATCATCAACAAGTTGATTAGCTTCTCTGTCTTGGGTTTCCTCCGACTCTTCAGGATTTTCTGTGTGGCTCTCCAACATTTCCTTGCTGGGAACGATATCATTATAAAACATCAGTTCATCTAGATCTCTCCACTTTTTGCCAAAGTGTTTGGTCAGCAATTTGTTCACGTCATTTAACTTCAGACTGTTAACCTGAGGCAGGCCGGCGTTGATTAGATCTGGTTTAATCATGCCAATTGGTTTTCCTTTTTTTGTAAATCCCTTAAAGGTTTGCAAGTCGCTCCTATAATGGACTTCACCTCTTATTAAAATATTTCCAGACTGGCATCTCTTCAGATAAAATCGTTTCGTATTTTTAAATTGGAAGTGCCATGATCCTGGGGGTTTCAGTACCTCTTTAACGCTTTTTTTCCAGTCGTAAACAGTACAATCTGTACCTAAACGAATGGGAGTCGCAATTTTTGAAAAGATTTCAATGTAGGTGTCAAGTTTGGTTATTACTTCCAGTTTTTTAATGTTCTTTTCGATGTGACCAAACACCCTGTCTGCTGGAAGAAAGGAATGCCCCACTACGGGAAAGATGACTTCCAAATTCTTAATATTTAACGGGGCATTATTTGCTAGCCATTTGGAGCACATCCCTATAAGAGTGCTATTCTTGTTTTGGCCGCTACATCCATCTGCCATAAGCCTAACCGTGGTATGGCGAGGGCCAAACTCAATTTTTTTCAGTCTATCATATACAGCTGATGAAACCTCATTGGAACTTTTTGCGAACTCATTTTCGGTCCAGTAGTACGAAAAAACATTTTCTGGATTAAGCTTGGATTTTGATGTACCTTCTACAATCGTAAAGTTGTAGAGGTACAACTGCCTTGAATAATAGGCTGTTTGGTCTGGCACCTTTGGTAGAACTAAGTTCTTCTCGCAATCGAAAGATATGGTTACCATATCATCTCTAGCTTCTTTAAGTAGATTGAAAAAAGCATCTGCTCTCAGTTTGTGAATTTTTTGTCTGTTGAAAGCTTTTTCTTTTCTTCTTCATCTTCGCAACGTTTGATTCTTTCAGCCAATTCAAGGCACGTGGAACACACGTCAGTTCGCGGTGTTGTGAAACTCAAATTATACTTTGTGTTGAAAATTGTTCGAAAATACGACAATTTTACTTTTTCTTCTGGACTGCACTGCTGATTATACATGGTGTGCATTTTTTGTATCGATAAATCTGAAGGAAGGTATAGTCTTTTTGTACTGGAGCGGCAATAGTGTGATTCAATGCACTTGAAACTATTGATGAACTGTTGAACCGCCGCTTATTTGTCTTCGTATTTAGGAGTTTTTCGATCTCCACCTCTTTCTATTGGTGCTTGACCACTGGAAGTAAAACTCTTCATGACGTGGCTCACACGATGTTTTGTAATATCAAGTATGTTTAAAAAAGCCGACTGGCATACGGGAACGTTCGCTTTTGAGGAATAATGTCTCACAAAACATTTTACATGGGTAACACACATCAACAGAGCAATGCTTTAGAATGAACGAGTCTTGCAATAGCTTGTTGTTTGTCGCATAAAATGCTTCATGAAAGTCTTTAACTTCCTTCATGGTTAACGAAGAACACTGAAAAGCCTTCGTTTTGTGACCACATGTTGGATATTGTGGCAACTGTTTTGCAGAATATCTGCAAAGAAGACTAGACAATACAACTCTATTATCAGTATGAAAAGAAAGAAAATACCTGAGCTTCTTGCGAACATTACATTTCCATGTGACTGGATCACGTTTTCTTTTACGGGCCTTACTCGGCTCAGCAGGAGATGCATTCACTTCCATTGGGTTCTCAGGCAAAACTCAACAATCAACACAAGATTTAACAGGATGAACAACCACAATGGACTAAACGAAAGCAACAAACATAATAGGTATTTGCTATTTAAATGCTATTTCATGTGATCAGCTGATCACATGTCGCGATTCTGATTGGGTGACATGGAGTTTGCCGATTTTGATTCTGAAAGTCATATGGAGATTGCCGGTTTTGATTCTGATGAGTAGTTTCCAAACTAAATTTATATGGGATAAAACCGTTTTTGTTACCAACTAGAAACATATTCCAATAGTGCACAACGAGACGAAAAAACTGCTATATGCAACACATTTTACTGAAATTTGGAGATTGCCGGTTTTGATACTAGGCCCCTCATTTCACCATTTAACCCTATTTATCTTTTTGCAGCTATGCAGAATATTATTTAATTAAAATATTAATATACCTACAGTAATATTAACCATGAGATACTTTTACCAGAGGAAGAAATAAAAAAAATCGTCAGAATTAAAAAAAATGTTAATCAAATTTGTTGAAATAGTGGTTTGCTTGTGCATGTGTTCCTCAATAACAACTTCTCATATTTATAGTAAATCTAGTGAACGAACTCTTAAAAAACACGTGCTTCCTAAAATGATGCCATCGTATTCGCCTGACAGTTACAACAAACAATCTAGATATACAAAATTCGATAAAGTAATGACCCGAATAAATAAAATGAGTTTCGAAGAGGAAGTTCATGGCGAAGAAGTAAACAAAATCAGACATAAAAATTGGAATAATAATCTCGTAGTTACTACCACTACTGCAATAGCGCCAACGCCGACGACTGAAATGGATTTATTTGAAACATACGGGGAACTGGAGAGTGAAGATTACTTTGATGATTACGAAGATACGGTGAGTGTTTATATATTGCAAAAGTAAATGAATCACTGATTGCAGGAAGGGTACAAGTCATGTTTTTTGATCTATAGAATAACTAACAGTAGAAACCATTCTTTATAAAGGGTTTCTGTTCCAATATATAAAGTATAAAATTTATTGCATTAACTGACGTTGAGTACAGGAAAGGTTCAAGTTACTGACTTTTGTTTTTTTATTAAAACTAAGGTCACTTGTGTTGTATCTTCACTGCAATCAGTGATTCAAATAATCTTTAGTTAAATTTAGTTTATTGTTCTTTTTTATTGTATAATATACCTTCAAATGAAACAACTGGCACCAGACATAAAGAATTGATTCAGCAAACAAAACAAAATTAGGGTCTATTTATACTGCCTTATTATTAGTATTTGTATTAGGGGAATTGTGCCTAATATCGCACACATTTTATTAATGTTTATTTATGAGGTTAATATCTAGTAAAAAATAATAGTATCCAATATTGTATAAACTTCATCAATTTCCTAAAAGTCACAGGAACTTACATAACTATACGATATTTACATAAAAAGAAAATAAAAAAAATGGAAATCCGCCATTTGTTTATTTTTTAAAATAGTGTTCCTAATATCGCACAGGTTATGTTCCTAATATCGCATAGTGCGATGTTAAGCTTTCGCTTAATTTATATTTAATATACATAAAACTAAATTATTTATTTAAGGTATTTATTAAAAGAATAGTATAAAAAATGTATATTGGTGAGTAGTTTTGATTTTTGACAATTTATCCTTCTAAACAAAAGTCACAAACAAAAGTTGAATAATCATCAGAACCAGAGCATGCTTCATGGCACCAAATGCGACATTTAATGCATCTTATCCACGGTTCACCTTTTTTATCACTTAAATAAGTTTGATTGCATCACAATCATCATCACTATCTTCTTCATCTGTAGAGACAGTCAACGGCTCATCAATATTTTCTTCACTTGATTCTGAAGACGCATCTGTTACCTTCTTTCTCTTGCATTTTGTTTTGTTAGGTGGTGCTTTTAATTTTGGATTTATATTTCTCTTAACACTTTTGCTCGCTTTGACTTCTTTTTTCTTTCCTTTTCTGCAATGTCTTGAGACAACTGATCCTTGTATGGCGAACTTGTAATAACTGCAGCTGGACTGCTTGGTCGTCCTCTACATTTAACACTGTGAGTTTTTGGTTTTATAAAAGGAAGCGGGTTGATATGAACTGGCATTATTCTAGAAGGGTAAGGGCTGCTTGGTCCTGACTGTTCCGAGACATTTTTTTGGAAAATGTGGTTAGGTCCTGGTTTATAAATAGCAGCGACAGCTCGCTGAATATTACTAGGTCCAGGCTGCTGAATATCATCAAGAATAACTGATGGAGGAGCGCTGCTGGATACTGACTGTTGAACGTCTACTTCTGACTCAGTTTCGAGGGCAACGAACTCATGAGCTTGGAAAATATTGCGGTTTAGTGGAAATAATCCGGTCTTCCTGAAACCGTTTTCTGCAGTAGCAACTGTTGCTGCCTTGTTATAAGCTTCACCTAAAAGTTTTCCTATTTGGTAGTGGGTTATAGCTCTATATGAATTGTGCTTTAACTATGATTCTATAGCTTGTGCATAATAAGTCTTAAAAGGTGCCATGAATGACCTATCAAGAGGTTGCATTTTATGGGAACAATGGGGTGGCAAACTTACAATATGCACCCCATTATCTCGGGCCAACTCTAGCAATGGCAGATTTGGTGTGTGAAAATAATGGCCATCTAATATCAAAACCACTGGATCGTTCTTGGTAGGCTTTACATTTGCCAAAAATTGTTCCTTAAACCATTTTTGGAAACTTTCCGCTTCAATCCATCCAGATTTATGGCACGCTGCTGAACTTCCATTTGGAGCGCCGTCCAATAGCTCTGGTTTCATATTTTTTCTTGGAAATACCAAAAGGGGCGGGATATAATGGCCTGTTGCACTCATACATGTAACCATCGTTACTATGGAACCCCTCTCTGCAGAGGAAATGGCTCCAACTTGACGTTTGCCACGTAGAGATATCACTTTACTAGTTTTGTGTTGTACAATGGTTAAACCAGTTTCGTCGCAATTGTACAATTTGTTTGGGGAATTCTTAACAAGACTATAAAGAGGCTCATACAGATCAAAAAAAGCTTTTACGTTCTTTTTGCTAAATCCCGTAATTCTTTTTAAAGATGTGGCCTGTGGTTTTCTTAAACTAAGTCGTGGATGCCTTCTCATAAATGAACGTAACCACTTCCATCCTGCTGCTTCATCTTGCTTGCGAAATGAGTGCTGAAGTCCATTTTTTTCAGCTAATTGGAACGCCATTCTTTTTACGTCTTTTGCTGTTAGTCCATATAACCGAGATTCCATTTCCAAACAGTACGTTACTAATGCTTCTTCTAACTCTATATCGAGTGTAGGTTTTCTACCAAGCTTTATAGATACTAACTTATTGACATCCTCTTCAGCACTGTTCACTTTGTCTTTTAATGTTGACTTAGGTACACTAAAATGTTTCGATGCACGTAACAGGCCCATTTCTTTGGCTCTAACAGTTAATATTGCTCGTTTCATGCTTTCTGTCGACCATTGTTTCCTTTTTTTAGGCGGCATCTGTAATTAAAAATTTCTGTTATGCTTTAATCTACACCAAACTATAGTATTTTTCACAAAATATATGTTAGGTCGAAGTAACGACAGGCGTAGATATCCCCCTTACAAATCTACAAACTAGAGTATTCCTAATATCGCACAGTGCGATATTATGACATTAGGAATAGTGCGATATTAGGAAAACTTAGGACCAAAAATATTTTTTTAATATTGTCGAAACAACGAACTCAATTAAAAATCAAATTATAACTATTAAAACTGCAACATTCAATAATGTCTCTGGAATAGTTCAATTATAAAAAAACTTACCGTTGCTAGTAACATATAATGTTGAAGATAACCCCAAAAAAACTTTTCGCGCGTAAAATATTCCAATAATTCACAGAGCTAACATACTCGTTGTTATCACTCTTAATTCTTACTCTACACTAACAAATCAGCCTGCAGAACTTGTTTAGCCGCCTGCAGGTAGTTTATAGCAATGACGTAGAAAATATTATGGTGTGCGATATTAGGAAGATGTACGATATTAGGCACATTTCCCCTAGTATTATGATTAAGCATTAAACTGGAGAAAATATTCAAAAAGGGTATTTATACTCGTTTTATAAGGTTCTTTCGTTCGTCCCACTGGTGTAGTAATGAGGTACACCAACGCACACCATACCTTTCGTTTGGCCCATTATTCCTTCTTGTCGGCGATGTGGTGTACACTGGTGGATATTTTCTCCACCAGCTCTTAAGCAGGAGTGAAATACACTCGACATGTGTATAAGGAATAAGGAGGAAGTAAATTAGGGTAAATAAGGTGGTGTAATTGGTGTAATTTACACTGGTGGACACTACACCAACAGCGAACGAAAGAACCTACAATTAGGCATTCCAACGACCTGTCCAAATGGCTACCAGTGGGTAATGACAGTTTAGATATGGCAACCCTGTTGTCATGTTGTCATTAACAGGGTCAATGATACATATATAGTTATATAGATTGCTCAAAGCTGGTCGTTTACGAGCGGCCATATTGCCTGGCAAATATTTATTAATTTGAATCGGTTTAGCAAAAATGTGTTTTAAAACCAATTTTTAGCCTTTAGTTATGTAAAAAAAAAATAATTGCTTACATTTTTACTTCAAGGCATAAGCTTATGTTTATTTTGAAAAATATGGATGATCAATCTATGTAACTATCTATTTCATTGACCTTGTCAAATCACCAGATCTACAGGGTTGCCATAATTTTGCCATATTATAACCCACTGGTAGCCATTCAGTTTGGAATGCCTAATTAATATTAGTTCTTCTTTTTTAATAATCTTTTTCCTAATAAGATATAATTCTGCAGTCAACAAAATGTTGGTTACTGAAGAAATGTGTAAGGAACCAGTTGTGTTCTTAGAATATCTCTTAAGATATTTGAATTTTAAACGTGTTTTAATTAATATTTTTACAAGTTAATTTTATTTAAAAGTATTATTATTCAAAAATAGGTTAAATTAATGACATTAAATGGATTTACGTCTCAAATTTATAACAGTTAAAAAGAAGCAGAAATTTGAGACAGATCAAACAGAAAAGAGGCTTTTGCTTCCTCGTGGTGACATGTCATTGGTCAACTTTATACTCGGTAAACACAAAAATTGTATACAGCGCATGATTTGTACCGAGCTTGTTGAAACAAACCTACAACATCTGACACCATAATCATATGTGTATTGTTAATTGTCATTATCCGTTATCTATTACAGTTCATCAAATTTCTAGAGGCTTTCGACGGCTAGACAGAGAAAGCACTACTGACAGGCATCCCGACGGATTTACGCAATGAAAGTACACTCTGCGCATCAAGTATTTCACTATTTCATTCAGACGTAAATGTCAGATGTAAATTTCGCTAAAACATTTCTTTTATTTTCGTTTGTGTTTTTTGCTCATTACAGTTTAATAGAACCTAAGTATGGAGTTTAATAGCAAATTAAGAGGCCGCGTGATTAACAGTCAATCTCGCGAAATAATAGCCAATGTTATAGAGTTTATGAGAAGAGAAGGAAACTTTAATTCACCTTCAATACTATTTAAAAATGTAAATGATCGTGTTGCTGCAGCCACAGGAGTATCTAAAAACACTGTCGTCCGCATTTCTGGAGAGAAAAAAAGAATCGATAACCGTGAGATATCGGAATTTTCATTACCAAGAAAAACCATTAAAAAACCAAAAACAGTTAATGATATAGATGAAGCTGCACAAGAATCAAATTTTATTTTTTTATTATTAGATAGCTATTTTTGTTTCTGAGTTGTGTTCATTTACAGGCTCAATTTTTTTCCGTTTCTCCTTTTTGATTTTATATGGGGT